TTCTGCGTGTATAAAATGCAGGCTTTTTTTTTTAATCCAAAATCATGTCCCAAAGTCTGTATCTTATACTTTAGTTTAGAATTCTCTTGTAGGACTCAAAACAGATTCAAATTGGATTTATTTGTCTACTGAGAGATAATATCTTTATAATGGCATATTGCAACACATGGAAATAAATCTCACCTGCACATTGAGCTGGGGGATCAGAATGAGAAAATCAGGGATCAAAGATTTCTCAAGGTGGATCATTGATTCCTGGGAAGAGTTGAATGCCGCTATCATTGTCAAAGGTTTTAAGAAATGGTGCATCACAAACAAGCTTGATTGCATTGAAAACGACATCCTGTATGAAGAATTCATATAGAAACAGGTGTCAAAGGTACCACAAGAAACCATCCATGATCATGATGATATACTTACTACTTTGGTCATTTTCTTTGTTTGCTCTAAAATTAGGTGCATTTAGGTTTCCCCCCAATCCAGGAAAAATACTTTTTTTAACTGTGTACTCCCTAGAGATCTATACACAAAGGATTATGGTAGTTCATATCTAATTTAGAGAAATCTTTGATCACCATAGTTTTATTTTTGTTTCTTGATTTATGAAAGATTATTCTTTATAACTAATTTTAATAACTGGTTTTAAAAGGCACATGTTGGCCAGATTTTATAGTAATTGATAGTCTTGTAGGGGGAGCCATTTTCTGTTTCAAATTTTCCTTAATTCTGTTTCAGGTTTTAGAGAATTCAGTTTTCTTTTTCCCCATTTTCAGTATAGGTTTTTGTTCCCCCCCCATCCACCCTATTTTTGGTATAGATTTTTTGTTTTATTATAATGCTTTGTGAGAAAGTGTCACTAAATACAAACGTTATTAAAACAAGAAAATAAAAGGAAAATTTTACAAGCTGGAATATTCACCCATTGGATAAGTTGCTCCAGCTTGATAGGGTTTCATACTTCTACCATTAATCTAACTTGAGTTTCTGGGACAACCCTTGCAAAAAAATGCTAGAATCCTAAATAAGAATTTAGTGAAAGTGGCAAAACCTACAGAAATGTGGCACCACAAAATCATCTAGAGACAAAAAGCTACATTATCATTTGGTCACTTTATTGAAATTATTTAATAACAATTCTTTAAAAATGTCTAATACACAGTGGAGTAATGGATAGCAGCTCAGATTGAGGAATCGGAGAGCCGAGTTCAAATTCCAGTCAAATCCATTACATTCATTTACATGTTAATACCCTTAGGAAAGGTATGAATCCTCTTCTTCTTCCCCTAGTTATGGGTAAATAGCAGGACAGACTGGGTTCTATAGCCTTGGATGACAGCTTGTCTACTGCAGAAAGAAATAGCAACCTACTGCAGGGAAAAAATCTACCTCGTCAGTCATGTATTGAAAGATACATGATCACCTAAGAATGTATCACACATGGCACATAACTGACTGAATTCATAAAACTTGGCTTTCTTAAATGACAAACTGCCCCCCCCAACCTTGATCACCATGTGTTATAGGAAAAAGAAAGAATAAAACAAAAAGATTAAATTTTTTGTAACCACCCACCACATCACCTCACTACCTTTTCTTTTCTTTTTTTTTTTATTAAATCAAGCCAACTTCATAAAACTTGATTCCTAAATGCTGTAAACTGTAGGGAGACAGTAAGATAAGGGGATGTATTAAAACATTACTGACATTATCCTTTGATGTCTGTCTGATGAAAGAGTTAGGAAAGGCAAACAGGGTAACAAATTAAAATGGCAGCTGACAAATCTAATTGTTAGAAAAAAATTTCCATTTCAAAATAACGATTTCCGTTTCAAGTAGGCCATTCCATTTTTCCATTTTCATGGAAAATAAGCCCCCTCTAGTCTTGCATCTATTTCAATTCTAGCAATATTACAAGCTCAGTGGAATCCAGCAGACCTTCCTGAAAAATAGGACAAATCTTATTCTGGAAAAAAAAATGTTCAACCCATCCTTAGAATATTGCTACCACATATGGTCCTGTGCCTCTGTTATTTACCTTGAGCTCCTTGATAAAACCCAAAGAAGAATCAGCAATATTATTGGTCCTGATCTGACAGCTAGGCTTCAATCATTTTCTCATCGCCATAAGGTTGCCTCTCTATGTCTTTTCTATAAATATTTTTGTGGTAATTGTTCAGATGAGCTTTTCACTGTAGTACCTAGACTGTTTGAATTTAAGTGCAGTGCGTTCAAACCCAAACTCAAACAAAAACATTGTTTTCAATCGTTGAGTCTACCGATTAAATAGAATTTTATTATAAACAATTGTCTTGTAAATGGAATTTTTAAAGCATTCTGAATGTAAAAATAAAGAAAAAAGTGTGCAAGACAATAAGAAACACTACCTGCCAAAAAAAAGTGAAGTTTTGTTGAAATCGGTTGAAAAATGTAGGAAATCCAATCCCATATATAAACATACAGACACACACACACAATCTGCATTTTATAATAAGATTTAATATTGTGACAGTGTTTTAGTCTTCTATAAGAGATAATCTAACATGGTTCTGGAACCAGAGGTGCCAGAAAATTGGTACCATACCATACCATGAAGGGGCCTGATACCAAAATCCAAGACATTAGGTTTAATACTGCCATGGTGTCTACTAATATTTTGGAAGTATTTTTTTATGTTTTTAATTTTTGCTGTTTGTCAGCCAAAATAAAGGAAATAAAGTTAATGTAAACAATCAAATAAAAAAGGCAACATTTTCCTTGTGGAAGGGTGGAGGCAAAATTGTGTGAAAGGAAAGGTGATACCATAACAATATGGGAGACACAATTATATAGTTTAAGCAATACAGATCTAAACTTCCAGAACATGGTGACATTTTATGTTAAGACGCCACTTGTACAGTTTAGATTTATAGACAATTATGAGCATAGTGAATTTATTTATCACCAGGTGTTGAGGGTGCTGGTACCAAAATCGAAGACATTATGAAGTTTAGTGGTGATATCTATTTTAGTATTTTGTATGCTAAAATATCAAAATTCTCCATGTTTTTAATTTTTGTTGTTTGTCAATCAAAATAAAGGATATAAATTCAATAAATACAATCAAATATAAAAAAAAAAAAAAAAAAAGTGACATTTTCCTTGTGGAAAAGTGGAGATAAAATTGGGTGAATGGAAAATTGACATTATAACACATACCAAACAGTTGTAAAGACAATCATATTTTAAACTATTTCAAGATCTGTTCTAGCCACAACTAGATGCATTATGCATTATGTGAAAAATTTGCATTATGAGAAAATTCGAAAGAAAAAAAAAATGAAAGGACGAGAGATGAAATTCTCAATAAGCTGAAAAGAAGACAAACACAATGCCAAGACACAGAACAGAATATAGAACACTACACAAAGAAATAAGGAACAAATGCATGTAGGCTAAAGAGGAATGGCTCAATGAAAAATATGCAAAAATATCAAGAATGGGTATCGCAGATAAAGCAGATAAGGGAACTACAACAAGACAAAAGATATGCTCATCAAAAGGATGCATAAAATCCAAGAATGGAATGTCGATATTGGAGAAAGAAAAAATACTTCAGCGATGGAACGAATATATCAGAAAACTCTTCCACAAGGAAAAAGAACCAGTAATATACAGAAATATTGACAGACCAGAAAATCTAAAGTAGAATCTGCATTGGCCAAATTGAAGGCAGGACCTTAAAGAATTGTAATAGAGAAACTAGCAGCCTTAGACAATATTACAGAAACATTTTCTTTATTAAAAGATTCTCAAATACAGACCAATAGACATAAATTTATACTGTTTAAAAATAGAAATGTCTACTCAAACACTTATATCCACAAAATAAAATGTTTATAGAAATAAGAAATACAGTCTAATATATAAATAAAATACAGGTGTCCAAAGTAAGAAGCCAGAAGAAAGTTTTTGCACTTCTTGCTTGGGACTCTCTTCCAGCCTTTTGTTTTCCAATCAACTTTGATCTTCAAATAGTTAAATGCAATCTCAATCGTTATATTTCTTATCTCCTATTCTTTTATTGTTCTCTTCCCTTCGTTTTTTTTCATATTCTTTCCTACTCAGTAACCCTTTGCATCTTAGAGGCTTTATTGCATTGCTCATGGTGAAATTATTAATAAAAAATATAAAATGAACGTTATGTTCTATTAGACAGTCATTTATAAAATAGGGAAATTTTAACCAAAATGTTTCGGGACAGAATATCAGCAACGGATCAAGGTATCAGAGTGCAACAAGTTAAATCATAAAATCTGATGGATGATGAAATTAAACAATTATAGACACTAAATTCAGGTCAGGTACTTTTGCATTTTGCTGGGTTTGAACACTGATCCCTAGCACAAGAGGGAAATATGTAACTCAGCTATCCCTTGAAGCCCTATTTCAAAAGTGATTTTGAGCATACTTTACCACCAGCAGTACTTGAACTGTTAATCTCCCAGTATGATCCCATTGCCTTGATCACTCAGCCATTTCCAATACAAGAAAGTCAGTACATACATGTTATTCATCCATAAACATTAAATTGGTAGTCCTGTTTTTTGTTTTCGTTTTTTTTTTTTAACACACACTGACATTTTTTTTTACTGTTTCTCAACTTTCTGGCTCATTCAAATTATGTCATTATCAAGCTTGTCATTTTCTGATTAGATGTACCATCTTTATTTCCTTGTCCCCAACAGCCCACCTACGCACCAATTGCAGTGCAGCATCTGCTGATTCACTAGAAAGCTGAGTGAGGGTGGGTGGGAAGGAGAGAAAAAGATAAAGTTAAATTTAGTGAAGAAGACATTGTTAGAATTTAGTAATGAAGAAAAAAAGAAGATAAATAAATAAATTCTGAGACGGGAGAAAATGAAGAAAATTACATTGGGAGAAAAAAAAGAAAAGTATAGAAAATAGAGCAAGAAATGGGTAGTCAAGTCAAAAGTTAAAAAAAAGGAGTGAAAGTTAGGGACCAGAGAGAGAGAGAGAGAGAGAGTGAGACAGTTAGGACAGAGAGAGAGAGAGAGGCCAGAGAGAGAGAGAGGCCAGAGAGAGAGAGAGAGAGAGTGGCCAGAGAGAGAGAGAGAGAGAGAGTGGCCAGAGAGAGAGAGTGGCCAGAGAGAGAGAAAATGTTTTAAAAAATAAAAAAAAGTATTAGTATTCAAAGAAAGAAAAAAACAGTTTAAGAACAAAAATGAGAATGAAAAATTAGAATAAAAGAAAGAAAGAAACTTGATATGACACAAAACAATTAAATGAGATTATCATCACTACTGATTATTACTTCCTATGAAGCACCATTAAAAAAAAGAAAATAAAAACAGTAATTTTTAACCAATAAACTTAATTCTTAAACAATTTGCATCTGCACAATCATGCCAGATTTTGATCGATCTTAAGACAGTCATGATGTCGGAAATCTTTTTTTTTTACATTAAGAGATATTAATATGAGAGAGAGGGATGTCTAAGTAGCATAGTGGATATTGGCACAGGAAGTGGAATCAGTGAGTAGAGTTCAAATTTCACATAAATGCCCTTGAGAGAGACAAACCTACCTCTTCTCCCAGCTATGGCTTAAATAACAGGGTTTTGTAGCCTTGGGTAATAACTAGAAAAGAAAAACTGAATTACAAACCAAGGAGAGGAGAATGGGAGAACACTCCGCTATGTTTTTCCAAGAAGTCACAGCAATTCACGCATAAAGTCTGGTGAAGAGCCATAACAACTCAAAAGGGAGAAGGAAAACTGAATTCCACACTATGGAGATGGTAACAAGAAACCAGGCCACTATCATTCCTAAGAAGTTATAGCAATTCACAGATAATAAAAAAGGAAGCTGTGGAGAGCCGTGATCGCCTATATCCTGAAAGAACATGGCATTTAAGAATGGGTTAAGTAGCAGGGTAGCACCCTGTCTAGGAGAATGACTATTCTGAATCATGGAAAAGGCAATGAGAAACCATTCTACTATCTTTTCTAGCATGAAATGGTAATTCGCAGATAAGAAAGAAAATGAAGCTATGGAGAATCATGATCACCTATATCCTGAAAGGATATGGCATGTGACACTTGCTTCCTATCATTGCTCCATGGTGAAAAACCCAAAGAATTAGATTATCATTTCAAATATTGTGCAGACCAAACTTTTTTTTTTCTTTATAATTCAACAACATTTAGTTGATCTATTCTTTGGTTTTCCTCAGGTTTTCAGTTTATTAAAACAAAGGTTACTCCCCAACACCATAAACAGAAAACAATTATGGTCAATATTTTTTTAACCATTTCACCCCAAGAAAAGCAATTAACCAATTAAAAGATGCAAGGGGTTACTGTTAGAGAATATGAGAAAAAAAACATACACTTAAGGAAAGAGAACAATAAAAGAACAAGTATTAAGACAAAAGTCAATGATTGACATTGCATTTAAATTTTTGAAGATCAAAGGTAACTGGAAAGCAAGAAGCCAGAAGAGAGTTCCACAAGTGAGAAGTGCAAGAGAATAAACTCTCAGCATAGAACTTATGATCATATCTAGCCACTTCAACTGTAAAGATGAGACCTTGCTGCCAATCCAGTAATGCATTTCAATTCTTAAATCTAGCTATCAGAGAGGAAAGTTCATTAGAAAAATTACCATGAAAAGTATTTATAGAACAAGCACAGCCAGATTAACGTTCCGCAAGTGAGAAGCATGATAGAAGAAATTGTTAGTACAGAACTTGATTACATCTAGGCATTTCAACTTTAATACAATGGGACCTTGCCACCAGTCTATACTTAGAAATATACAACTGGGTCCCTTGGTCAATTTTTCACCAACTAGACAGCTTTGCACAATAATGTGTCAGCTCCCATCTGTGTTGGTGTGAACAAAAAAAAAAAAAAAAACTGGGAAAGTCCCAATGTTCAAACAAAGGAACTGAAGGTGAAATAACACCTCAGCATGAAAAGAAAATATGAATCCTGTTTTCATTATACTGGATTCCTTATTTATGGATTCCATCTGGTACCATCTTTGCTGCTAACTCTGCTTTCTCCTATAAGATAACAGACCAGATCTTCCAACTCCCTCCCTGCCATTTCTGTAACTGTTACTCTCTTTATCTCAACGGATAGCTTGTGACTGTCCTCTGACTGTTAACTCTTCCCTACTGCCCTTCTACCAATCTCTTCATCACAACATATGGTTTGTTACTGACCATCACTCACTGCTTATATCACAACAGAGAGATCATGACTACCTATTCTTAAATGCAGCCTGACTATACAAACCCATGAGCGGAATTCTCAACCTTCCAGATGAGTGGCACTTAATCTCAAATGTTTTTATTTATTCATCCATGCATCTTGTAAAGAAAGAAAATGGATTTTTTTATTTATTTTTTTTTTTTTATTTCATATAATTCATTTCTTCTTCAGTACTTCTTGATAGCTGGTGGTTGTTCGAAGCGATCATATCTTGATTTTACTGTTGATCGTCATAAAACTACTGGCACTTCAGGCCCAGATAGAGTCCACTTGACAGTGTTAGTGCCCTAAGCCACTAGACAATCCCAGCCCATTATATTACATCCAGATCACATCAGGACATTCTCAGCAACAGGCAATTCAACACCTAAAAAAGCTACAGAATTGAGTGGGTACAATAATTCATGAGAAAAAAAAACAGTAACAAGTATAAAAAATATTTTTATATTCTAAACAAAATCATGAATGATAATGACTTAAAATTTACAGAATAATAGGATTCTTTATTAGAAATCCCTGCAGAGTTGGGTTAAAATAAATAAAATGAAGCAGACTATATCTTAACATATTTTGATCCATAATCATAATTTAATCATTTATAATCACATATATTTAATTTTAGTGTCATCAGAGAACAAATGTGTCAACCAAGATTACTTTGAGTTTAATACAACAACAACATCTACAATCAGGATGCAGAGTTGTTGTTGGCAGAAATCACTCTTGGGGGGGGGGTCACATCTCGTGGTGGAGAGGGGCAGGATTTATTTTTTCCTAATTTTTTTTTACATTTTATAAAGACAGTAGAAGAGGAAAAAAAAATTATTTTTTTTTTAACAACTTGAAAACAACACAAAGTGAATTAAAAATAATCACTGCTCTAACAACAATAGTAGTAATTGTCATTGCCACCACCAAAAACAGAGATGTAATCACCATAAATTCTACCGGCTGCCAATGCTCATAGCTTTTCAAGGTCGTAGTCTTGTTACACATGAAACTATTAAAGCGCTACTTATAACCCCCTCTTATTTTATAATGCAACTCTCCTTCACCTCAACCCCATTCCTCTCTTCCTCCACCTTCCTTTCAAATTCTTTTTGTGTACTTTCCTCTTATAAACTCCACATTCCCGGGTTATTGCTTGTTACTATCATTCTCGCTCATTTTCCTCCTCATTGACGATTACTATGGAAAATCTGGTTCTTAACAATCTTTCCATGTTCCAGATCTTTAAGATACATTAAAAAAATTATTGTTTGTAATTCTCAAATGAATCATTGCTGTCATTATTCTCCAAAGATGAGTTATTTAGACTGCCATATCTGGTCTTGATCTCTTACTATATATCGAGATTCTTGACAAAATTCAAAGAAGGGTCTGTAATGTAATTAATCCTGACCTGCCATCTCAACTTCAGTCACTTTCCCCACTGCCCTGACGTAGCTTCCCTCTTTTCGACAAATATTTTTATGGCAATTGTTCTGATGAACTTAGTGCCTTTGAATTTAAGCATGCTACTAGATTGGCAACTAGGTCTCACCATTTTACTGTTGAACTAGGTAAATATAAATGTAAGTTCTATTCTAATAGTTTCTTTTCTTGCACTTCTCACCTGTGGAAGTCCTTTCCAATTTCTTACTTACAATCTTCAAAAATTTAAATGCAACATCAATTGCCATCTTCTATCTTCCTGAATCCTATTTCTTTGTCCTTTCTCCTCACTATAGTCTTCTCAATCTCTTTTACTCTCTCTAACCCCCCACATCCTAGTGCCATTGTTGCCTTGCTTGGGGTGAAATGATAAAGAAAAACAATTTTTTTTTCTTCAAATGTGTTCTTCAGCCTGCTTCGGGTGTATACAGTTAAGACTTTCTCATCAGTCTCATCCCCAATTTGGCAGAAATTATTTTAAACTTCCTCCACCTCGTTACTTACACTGACCTGTTAGCAGAATTTGCTGACCATACTGTTTGCATAGGAGTAAAACTCATCTCAGAAAGAGGCCACATATCAAGTGAATGTTTGCCTGCAGAATTTAGTGTCAGCCCAGCCAATGCATGCTAACAGACTCAAGCATAAACACATCCAATGTTTTCCCATAGACTCAAGCATAAAGTCAATTAAGAAAAAAAAAAGAAGCCAACATTAAATAACCTAACAAAGGTTGATCTATCGGGAAATCCACCAACCTAACACACTATATTATACATACCAATTCTGCCTGGCAGAAAGATTTGTCCTAATTATTCAAAACTCCTGGCAATTTTATCCCAATTTACAATGCATTTCTATAGTAAAACATCACTTATACAATTATACATATAAATAGTCCTATTCTGTTGGCAAATTTTACTTTAATTCCTGATCACTGATAATACCTTCCTTCCTGATTTCCAGTGCAATTCTATACAATTCTAAACAGACATTTGACATTTTGGAACATTTCCCAAGAGATACTAAATCTAGTCTGAAAGTAGAGTCTCTGAATTTCAGTACTGGTCTCACTTTGGCCTATTTGTCAAGTTATGATCATTTGAACTAATCAAAACTTGCAGGTTTGCTTTTCCTACCTCTTTTTGCTAGGAAAGTGAGTGGAATCTTGTGGAAACGAATGGTATGAGCAAAAAACAGGTTTATATTGACACTAAAAAAAAAAAAAAAAAAAAAAAAATGACTTAAATGGATTTGGAGCACTAAAGCATAAAATTCAAGCAAATTGACATAATTGCCATATTTTGCCTGCTTTTGTCTTTAAATCCCCACCCATCCAACTTCAAAAAATGGGGTACAAAATAATGTAGGAGATAAAAATAACTTTTCTCCTTTTTAGTTTAAATTCCCAAATATTAAAACAATTTAAATCTGTATAATGTAAGAAAATTGTTCTCGGGAAGATATTGAAAATATAATCTGTCCCATTTGTTTGTTAAACTGATCATTATCTGCTTTTGGCACCATTTTCTGGGCACCAAATATCA